CGCCCAGTGATTGCCGAGCATTTCCGATGGGAAGGAGAACTGTATGTAAACAATACAGTTCTCCTCCCTGTCAGCTCGTGCACATAGCTTTGGATGGCTTTGCTCAGCACAGCCTTCCAAAGCAGTGTGACTACAGTGAGGCACACACACACACACACGCACACACACACAGAGCTTACAGTGAAACAGCACACAGTTAACCCTTCGATCGCTCCTGTTAACCCCTTATTGCCCAGTGCCCTTAGTACAGTGTCAGTGCTTTTTTTTTTAGCACTGATCACTGTATTGGTTTCACTGGGGATGTCAGTGACACCAAGTCAGTTCCCTCCAGTGTTAGAATGCCTACCACAGTCCCACAGTCCCGCTATAAGAGGTTGATCGCCGCCATTACTAGTAAAAAAAAATAAAAAAAAATTCCATTATCTATACCGCCATTTGTAAATGCTATAACTTTCACATAAACCAATTAATTTACACGTATTGGGATTTTTTTTATCAAAGTTATGTAGCAGAATACATTTTGGCCTAAATTTATGACAAAATTTGATTCTTTAATTTTTTTTACTGGAAATGTTTAATAGTAAAAAGTCAAAAAATAATGTTTTTTTTTCTCAAAATTGTCGGCCTTTTTTTTTTATAGCGCAAAAAAATTAAAAACGCACAGACGATCAAAAATTACTAAATGACAATTTGTAGGAAAAAGATGCGAATTTTATTTGGGTGCAGCGTTGCATGACCGGACAATTGTCAGTTAACGCACCACCTGGTCAGGAAGGGGGGTAAATCCTCAGGAGAGCAAGTGGTTAAAGGGCAAGTAAACCAACTCGATTCATTATATAAAAGAGCTTTTAATCATATTTAGAGACAAGTCTTTTTTTCTCTTAGCAAATAGGTGCAAGGACTCAACCATGCTGCATCAAATGGTGGGTGTGGACAAATTGCACAGTGGGAGGGTCTGAAATACCAGAAGTGCGTTATGTGCAGAGTTCAAAAGTGCACTACATACAGAGAGCAGAGTTCAGGAGTGTGCTACGTACAGAGTGCAGAGTTCAGGAGTGCATTACATATCGAACGCGGAGTTCAGTTGTGAGCTACACACAGGGTGCAGAGTTCAAGGGTGCACTACGCAAAGGGTGCAGAGTGCAGGGGTGTGCTACACACAGGGTGCAGAGTTCAAGGGTGAGCTACACACAGAGTGCAAGGATTCACTACGCACATGATGCAGAGTGCAGGGGTGCGTTACGCACATGGTGCAGAGTTAAGGGGTGCGCTACTCACAGGGTGCAGAGTTCAGGGGTGTGCTACATATAGGGTGCAGAGTTCCAGGGTGTGCTACACACAGGGTGCACCCTACCCCCCATGACCACACTGCACTTTGTTCCTGCCATGAGTGCAGGATATTGAAGGATTTGTGTGAGCAGCTGGGAGAGGTAAGTTGTTACTTCTAAACACAGATGCTTCTGTGTTTAGAAGTGACAGTGATGAGCGGGGGGGGGGGGGGGGAAGAGGGCTAGAGGTGGCAAAACAGAGTTCCATCGCATTCCAGCTGAAAGAAATCCCTGTTTAGAGATGTATGTAAATGGCATATGAGGTAGGCAGAAATGGTGTCTACTAATTCTGATGTGTGCAACAGTATACCTTTCCTACCTACACAATTCAGTAACTTTATTAATTTAAATTGTTCATAAAGCCTAAACATTTTTTACCTTAATGCATCCCTTGCATTTAGGTAAAAATTGTTTATATGGTACTATCCCTCCCTCACCCCCCATTTTACTTACCTGAGCCCTCATTGGATCCAGCACTGTGCACGTCTGCAGCTCTTCTCTCCCCTTACTTCCTGGTCTCACAGACTTTGCTGCGGCAGCAAGAACCATTGACTCCCACTGCAGTCAATCAAAGCCAGTGACAAGGTAGCAGGGGTAGGGCCAAGTCCCGCTGTCTGTGTCTATAGACACAGGCAATGGGGCTCGGGAGCTTGGGAACAAGTGCCATCATAGGAAGTGGTCATTTTACAGAGCAGGTAAGTATAAACAAGGTTCTAATCACATTTTTAATGCAATAACATATCATTCTCAAATGATATGTTATTGCATTAAATAATATATTTAAATAATATATTATTAATGCAATATTAATAATAATATTAAATAATATATTTTCATTCTCACTGTAAGTCTCTTAACATTTAAAACCTTAAAAGGAGAAGTAGGGCCAAAGATCTTTTGGTTCTACTTCTCCTGTAGGTCACAGGAGAAGGCTCCAAAACAGGTTAAGTAAACAAGAAAACCCTAAAACATATTTAGTTTGGTAAAAGCTGATCAGGGATCTGATGTGTGAATTCATTATTATTAATGAAACTGCACTGTGAGGATTCATTACTATGAAAAGTTGACATCTCTCCTTTATGCTGACTACACATGTACTGATTTTATTGGGATTCTTGGTTTTTGTCATATTTGGTTAAATCTGTTTTTATTAGCATTTTCACAAAGATTTCTAAAGTAGATGAGAACTTGTTCACTCAGCTTTTAGCACCCTTAAGTTGGACTGCTCCGGAAGCATAGTACTGACATTAGTAAACTGTGTGTGGCTTACTGACCAAACTGATATAAAAACAGTAATACATTGGAGAAAACCTGGTTATAGAGGCAGGGGGTAATATACATGGATCAAGGGCTCATACTGCAGCTATCTACAAGGCTCTACAAGGCTCACACCCCATGTGATTTGTCCAGGGGAATATTTTAGGTGGGCAGCAAGAGTTTGAAGGCATTTGACTATGGACCAATAAGATCGTATGTAAAGAAAGGGTTCAATATTAACTTGATCTCCATGCACAAGGCTCTTTTGCGAGAATCAGATTATTCATGATTGTCACCCAGACAGCCAGAGATGGTGTTTTTGAGAAGTCTTACAGAGCTTACAATGAATGCTATCTCTGGTGTTCCACCACTTCTGTTGTTAGCTTTTTGCTGTATTCCTGGAAGACCTTCTTCCAGAAGGGTTATAGTTTTGTGCAAGTACACCAGGCATGAAGGTGGACAAAGGAAACATAGGTTTCATGGTGATGGAGCATCTTTACCACTGAAAAGGTATTTGATGATTTTTATCTTGGAAGCGGTTGGACATTGAGAATGAATGTGTCAAAACACAGGCCGTAGTTCATTCCTCCTCTGAATAACATTTACCCAACTCTTCCACCCATGCGGCTTACAGTATTTATAGATTATTTTCTTTCAACACACACATTTGCTGATTTGTTTCATTCAATCTACATTATTGTCAGAATTGTTTGTGATCACTTTCATTAAGGGCCTATTCACACTTAACGTGGAACTTTAGTCAGAAAATTAAGTCCTGCTAGGTCACTTCAGGCTGGCCCCTTTTTCAGGTATAGCTATGTAAAACATTAAAAATAAGTGCCTATACTGTTTAAAATACAGTGATACACCATCTCTCCCTGGTCTGCACATGCTCAGCTGCTCTCTATTTTTAGGCACTGTTCCAAATTGGTAGAGGCCAATCTGCTGACAGCCTATAGATTTTCTGCTGTTCTGGAGCTCTGGGCTTCAGCAAAATGGTGGCCTCCAGCAAGAAGAAACAGGAGCAATTCTAGAGGCAATTTACAGCACACTCATTTTGGTAGCATAATTGTTAATGTGGAGTGTATGTTTCTTGCTAAAGAACATGATTTGTAATTGAGTTGTTATGAGTAAAGATCCACTATAGGCTCTCCGTTGCAGTGCTTTAATCCACACACTTTAGTGCATTTTTCCCCCATGCATTAATAGGCAAGACAGCCCATTCATTATGTCTGACAACTCCCCACTATTGATGAAATTGTACCGGACTCTTTTCTGATATGTGCATTCTGCTCTACTGTACAATACTTTTGGGGTCCTTGTGGAACAAGCAGCTGTAGGATTTCACAATAAATGGAACCACATCAGATCACGCATTGAGCATAGGCATGGCCATGTGCTGTTGTAACACATGTTAACGTGCACATTTTAGCATGCCATGCCACAATGCACAAGTGTAAATGTGCTCTGAAAGACCTGTTACATATATTTATGCTAAAACCGCATTGAAAAAAACCCAACAATTTCTAATTATTTTCTATTTTATTTAAAACACTAGTAGAATGCCCACACATTTATTTATTTTTTGTAGATACAATTGGAATGTCTGAAAATCGAGGGCACTTCTACCATACTGGATGTACCTAACACTGCAGAAGTCCATTGCTCTCAGTTGGACATGCTGAGGAGTACAGCAGATACACCAGTCTGGACGAAAGTTGTAGAAAAGGAAGCACATATATAAAGGGTTTGTGTCAGTGGGCTTTGGCCTTAGGCCAATGACATCAGCTTCAGTTTGAGATACTTGACTAATACATTTGACCTGCAGTTGACGTCCTTTTGATCTGCTTCGAGGGGGTTTTTGCATTCTTGTTCAAAATTTTTCTGACTTTACTAGCCAGTGCAAACCTGCATAAACAGGTTCTGCCCTTGTTTAGGTGAACAAAGTCAAATATTAACACAGTTGTATGAATGCATAGAGGCTTCATACTAGAGGTCAGTAGTAGTTATGGTCTTCAGTCCTGCAGCATTCATACATGAGTAATTCACCTTTTAGCATTTCTATGAGTTCAATGAGACAGAAAGAACACTTATTTGGTATAAATACAGTAATTTCCACTCTCTATACCTCTCCTAGTGTTAAAAATATCTATAAATATAAGCTTAAAAAAAGATAAAAAAAATATCCCCAATTTGGAGAATTCAGAAAAGTTCATACATTCTTGCGCCTATGAAAACAGCAGGTACGTATTGTAAGAAAAACACACTTTCCTGACACAGTAATTGCTTAGTAAGTGGCAGAAATCAACTAATCAGGTACAAAATGTTTTACCACAGTAAACAGGAACCCTTTAGAGTTTCACAGTCTAGTTGTCCTTGTTGGTGTTTGATACTCTCCATAATAATGTGTGAAGGTCAGTGATTCATGTTCCTTTTAATAAAACATTTCATGCATGAAATCCCAAAATTTTTCCTGACTTGTTTCATTCCTTAAAATCATGGCCGTAAGAGCTTCTCCCTGGTCAAAACCTTGCCAGTAATCCTGGAGCCACATCTGCTTCCAGCTGAAAGAAACAGAAAAAGACAAATGGCATTACAATTGCATGGAGAATACATTCAATCAGACTAAGGCCGGCCATACACGGAAATTTGGATGGTTCATCTATGGGCATGCTAGTTGTACTTAAGAAGTCGATCTATTGATTGACTTCAGTACAACCAGCCTGTCATTTTTTGTGTGATCACTGCCAGCCTGCTATAGCTGTAAGCAGTAATCATTGTATTCTGCGGGTGAGCAAGGCTCCCTGCTGGCAGAACACAATAGCGCTGCAGGACAGATTTTCCCATCAACACTGAGTGTGTTGATAGGGAAACTGAGCAATTTTCTTTCCTTCAATCCATGGTTGAAGGAATGAAAATTGTATAATGTATGACCTGCCTTAAAGTGTAACTAAAGGCAAAACTTTGGGGGGATTTTCTCTCACTTTCTGTTTTGGTTATGGAATAGGAAATGAAGGGAAATCTCCCCTTTAGGACACAGATGGCAAAAAACAAAAAAAACTGACATGGGTTATAACTCTCCTGTACGCTATCCAAACTGAGAAAAAAAAAATTGCCTTTAGTTACACTTTAAAGGTTAAAGTACAGTATATCTAAACCCTAATTGGATGACACCTAATTTGCTACAGCACTATGTTGCATAAGCAATTACCCTTTTTATTTCTTTTAGCATCTTACTGCCTATTTCTTGCAGCCTCTTTCCACTACTTCCTGTTTATATATGTATGCACTGCATTTGGTGGGTGCACGATATCCCTCCTGATGGTGACAAACGTGACCCATGCCTGCATATGGATGCAGTGCATATACAACAGATATCCCACACTTGGTGGCTCTCGAGCTCTATCAATAAAATATCTGATTGGCTGTAGCAAAAATATGATGGTGAAAATGAAAAATTAAGTACATGCATAAAATATTATACATATAGGTAGGTCTGTCGATGTAAATATGAATTAACAGTACCTATCATCTTCTGGAAGCTCCTCCGCACTTCCCAGGCCAGGCACAGGCATAGGACATCCCATATGATTGTGCGCAGCAATGTGTTTAGCAGGAGCTGGACCTTTTCCCCTTCTATGTTTCTTCTCTGCTTTGACTCTTGCATTTTCCTGGTCACATACAAAGCATTCAAAGCCATTGAGGTAGTTAGGAGCCGTCATGTCATTCACTCCCCATTCTCGCTTCTCTAGATTTTCCACCAGGAACTTGTTCGTGGTTTGGCCAGGTTTTTTATATTCTAAGTATCTCAGGTATTCTTCATCATTTCTGTCCAAAGAGAGGATAAAGCCTGCCAGGTCTTTAGGTGAAGCAAAATCATCAATCAATATGATAGAGTGGTTGTTGGGCATCCAGTCCTTCACAGAAGGTGAGCCTCGGTAAATGGGAACAGCCCCTAAATGCATTGGGCGCCAAAGCTTCTCAGTCATATAATCAGTACATATGGCATTTTCAATGGCTAAGTGAAACTTATATCTGGAGGTGAAAGCCATAAATTCTGGATCTTCAGTAGTGGCTGTTGAAGTGTCCTCAAGTCTTTTATTTGGGAGTTGGCGATTCTTCAGACAATGGCCATAAGAATCAACCTGGGACACAATCAAATGACAGATGATTCATAGTTTGCACAGAGCTAACAGATATGCACCAAAGATTACTCATTGCCTACTGCTGCAATAGTGTTGTTAGCAAAGAAATCTGGAGTGTTGACACCTCCCTTGACTTGTCTTCAAATGAGTCAGAGGTGGCATCTATTTTTTCTACCTACACTATCTGGCCAAAACTTTGTGGACACCAGACTAACGCACATACAATATAAGGCCAAAAGTATCTGGACACCCCTATAAATGATTAAGTTCAGGTGTTTCCAGCAAAGGCTACAGCAAAGACATTCTAACAGTTTGTGGCAATAATTTGGAGAAGGTCCTTTCTGTTCCAGCGTGACTGTGCTCCTATGCACAAATGCATGGTGTGCTGAGTTTGGTTTGGAGGAACTTGAACAGCCCGCACAAAGACTTGCCCTTAACCTTTTAACACATTGGAGATATGCAGAAAGGTGTGCGTTCTCACATCCAATATCAGTACCCAGGCACACAGAGCTCAATGCACATAAACTCCTGCAGGAAAACTCCAAATCAACACAAGTGTGGAGGCTGGTATAGCTGCAAAGGGGGAAGAGAACCTCCTTAATAACATCTATGATGCTTGAACCGGATGTCCAACAAACTCATATGGGTATGATAGTCAGGTGATCACAAACTTTTGGCCATATAGTGTATACTGTAAAATCAGCAGCTGTATTAAAAAAAAGAAAAGCTAACCAGAGGAGTTAGAATATAACTAACTAGAATCATAGAGCTAGCCCACAAAAAAGAGAGCTATGTTAGAACTATCACCTATGGAACCAGAACACTGATGTAAAGATGGCAATACATGAACTGAATTTAAACTAATTTGGGCAGGACAGTGGCTAAATGGTTAGCACTTCCGCCTGGCAGTACTAGGGTACCACCTGCCTGGAGTTTGCATGTTCTCCCTGTGACTGCGTGGGTTTCCTCTGGGTACTCCAGTTTCCTCTGACACTCCAAAGACATGCTGGTAGGTTAATTGGATCCTGTCTAAATTGGCCGTAGTATGTGTATGTATGAATGTAAGTTAGGGACCTTAGATTGTACATCCCTTGAGGGTTAGGGACTGATGTGAATGTACAATATATATATGTAAAGTGCTGCGTAAATTGACAGTGCTATATAAGTACCTGTAACAAAAATAAATACTACTCCCTAGTTTAAAAAACAAAAATTCTATTCAAGTATGTATTTGTAATCCAAATAGTATCTGCTATTGCTCCCAGCCTTCTCCCAATTCCTTTTTTTTTTTTTTTGCTTCTGTGGTCTGATTTCCTGTTAGAGGGTGGATATGTTTGTTCCCCGTGGTCCCACTGTATGAAGGAACATGACCACCTTCTCTTGCTCGATCCCAAGATGGACTAGGCCAGTGCACATAACCAGGGCCGTGGATAAGGGGGTACCACCAGTTCTCCTGTACGGGGCCCAGGCCAGAAGGAGAGCCCAGGCAGCTGGGTGAATCAAATATGGGCAGGGAGGGTGATCAGCACAGTGGGGGGAAATTACTGGAACCAATGCCGTGTATGGCTCTCTCTACAGCAGCTGAAAGCTGGCTTCTTCTCCTCTCTCTTCTGCTGGCTTTCAGCTGCTGCAGGGAAAGTCATACAGGGGATCAGTTCCAGTAATTGCCCCCCCGCAGCATCCATCACCGTCCCTGTACACCATACATTTCCATCAATGCTGCCCAGACCCCCCCTGTGTGCCCCCACCCCCACAGAGCTGCTGGCTTCCCTCCCCTCCTTCCTACTGGTAGCTGCAAGCACACAATAGGATCCTTCAGAATGGAGAGTAGGCGAAGGTCTGCTAAATATGTCACATTTACCAGCCCTTTCCTTTCCTGAATAAACACAATGAGTGATCGGTATCAATCACTCGCTGTGCTCATTGACAACTAAAACTGTGGGGGTTCTTTTAGGGGAGGGGGGCCCTGTCAGGTTGGTTGCATGGGGCCCTGTGGTTTCTAACAGCCCTGCACAGGACCACAACTAACGTGCACTGCTTGCTCCAAACAAACGGAGGTGAGGAGGGAAGAGGAACAGTTTGGGAGCTCAAGGAGGTAGAAAACACAGAAAAAATGTTTTTTTTTGAATAAAAAAAAAAAGGATTACAGGGCCAGATTATTTTTGGAAAGGGTATCTTTTAGACTCCATGCACACTAGCATTTTTTTTAAGCTCCTAGAGCAATTTTTTTTGCTCCTAGAAGCTAATAGTGTTATCCTGTGTGTCCATGCACACTATTTTATACTAGAAAGTGTGTTTGGAGCCTAAAGCTTGATGCACAGTAGTGTTTTTCTAAGCTAAAAAAATGCTGGATAAAAAACGCTTGCAATAATGTCCTTTAGTAGTGTTTAGGAGCGCTAGCGTTTTATTAGCTTTTTTACAGTACATGTAAGAGAAAGAAAAGGTAGAAAAAAACTTTTAGGAGTGTTTAAGAATGTTCCACGTTTTTTTCTGCCAGATAAAAGATCCCAAAAAGTCTAAAAAAAAAAAAAATGTTTCTGCTCCTAAATGCTGAAGCTTGAAAAACGTTACTAATGTAGGATGACACTATTTAGCTTCTAGGAGCAGAAATAAATTGCTAATAACTGCTTCTAGGAGCTTAAAAAAAATGCTAGTGTGCATGGAGCCCCAGCATTTAGAAGCGGAAACAAAATTGTTTCTGTAGAGTGTTTGGGAGCATTTTCCCAGCAGAAACACTCCTAAACGCTACGAAAATGCTCCTAACATCTTTTTTCAAGCGCTTTTTTTTTCTTCATTTACTGTAAAAAAACACTAATAAAACACTAATACTCCTAAATGTTACTACAAGCCAACACAAAAACGCTACTATTAGAGCTTTTCATCCAGCATTTTTTCTAGTGTTTTGTGAGCTTATAAAAAATGTTAATGTGCATAGAACCTTAGCGTGACTTGAAATCAATGATATTAAAAAAAAATATTTATTTAATTTATTTATTTCAGGTACTTATATAGCACCATCAATTTACACAGCGCTTTACATATATTGTACATTCACATCAGTCACTAACCCTCAAGGGGTGTACAATCTAAGGTCCCTAACTTACATTCATACATACACATACTAGGGCCAAGTTAGACAGGATCCAATTAACCTACCAGCATGTCTTTGGAGTATGGGAGGAAACAGGAGTACCCGGAGGAAACCCACGCAGGCACAGGGAGAACATGCAAACTCCAGGCAGGTGGTACCGTGGTTAGGATTCGAACCAACGACTCTAGTACTGCCAGGAAGTGCTGACCATTTACCAACTGTGCTGCCCATAGGCATTTTAGCTTTAACGTGGTTGCAAAGGCTCAAGGTTTTTTACCTTCATGCATTCTATGCATGAAGGTAAAAAACCTTCTGTGTTGCAGCCCCCCTAACACTTACCTGAGCACCCTCTCATTCCAGCGATGTCCACGAGAGCCTCGGTTCTCCAGGGACTCTCACTCCTGATTGGCTGAGGCAGCAGCGGGAACCATTGGCTCCTACTGCTGTCAATCATAGCCAGTGAGCCAGTCAGGAGAGGGCAGGGCCAAGCCATGGCTCTTTGTGTAAATGGACACACGGAGCAGCAGCTGTGGAGTGCGCATGCTTGGGGTGCCCCCATAGCAAGCTGCTTGCTGTGTGGGCACCTGACAGGAGGGAGGGGCCAGCAGTGATCCAGGCTGCTCTGTTAAAATTACCCTAAATTACCCTGTGGGCTCCCCCTCTCCACCCTCCCTAGATGGCAGGACATCCGACTGTTGGAATCACAGCCCCACCACCAAATGAACAAGCATTCGACTATGGCAGTGCAGCTTGCCTACCCACGCATGCGCAGTCTGCTCTCTCTCTCTCTCGCAGCAGCTGAGCTTAGTGTTCTGCAAGTGAGAATGCGGACTGCACAAGTGTGCTTAGGCAAGCAAAGTTTCTAGCAGCTGAGCAACGTGTTTGTGAGGTTGTGGGGCAGCACATCTAGACATGAATGAGAGGGGAAGCCAATGGTAGAAGCTGCTTAAAAACATATGATCATTTTTAAAAATGGAGAGCAGCATAGTAATGTGCACTTAAAGTTTTTTTTTTAAACTGTCATTAAAGGCGAACTCTTTAGGTCCTTTGTTTTTGGTACCCTCTGATTCACTGACCAGCAACAAGCCTACAGATGAGTAGTTCTGACTTCAATGACTGCATGCTTGTTCTGGCTTATTGACTCAGATGTCGTTAATGGTGAACTATTATTATTATTATTATACAGTATTTATATAGCGCCAAAAGGTTTGATCAGTGCTGTACATTATAGTGGGGGACAGAACATGAGACAATACAGTAACAAAACAAAACACGAGGGGGTCAAGGGCCCTGCTCTTTGGAGCTTACAATCTAGGAGGGAGGGGAAAGTGGTACAGGAGGAAGTGGCTGTGGGGGATGGAGTGGTAGGAGGAGTGGAGGAGATCGGCTGTTAAGTGAGGGTGGGGTAGGCTTCCCTGAAGAGATGGGTTTTCAGGGTGCGCCTAAAGGTGAGGAGGGTAGGTGACAGTCTGATGGATTGGGCTAGTGAGTTCCAGAGGATGGGGGAAGTCCTGGAGAAGTCCTGCAGTCGGGCGTGGGAGGGGGGAGACCAGGGAGCTAGAAAGTAGGAGGTCTTGTGAGGAGCGAAGAGTACGGGTTGGGTGGTATTTTGGTATCAGGTCGGTGAGGTAGTTTGGGGCAGCGTTATGAATGGCTTTGTATGTCAGTGTTAGTATTTTGAATTCAATGCGTTGGGCAATCGGAAGCCAGTGGAGGGAATGACAGAGGGGACTGAAGCGGGGATAGTCTGTGATGAGGTAGGCCAGTGAGGAGGGAGTTGCAGTAGTCCAGACGTGAGATAATAATGGAGTGAACGAGTTGTTTAGTAGTGTCTGGGGTTAGGTACGGACATATTTTGGAGATGTTGCGGAGGTGGAATCTGCATGAGTTTGCCAACGATTGGACATGGGGTTGGAAGGACAGGTCTGAGTCTAGAGTGACACCTGGGACTCTTTAAAGGTTTGCTATAATGAATTTATAGGGGAATGATATGTAATATTTACAATATGTTGTAGAAGTAGATGTCATTATGTAAAAATGTCACTTACCTGTATGTATTTCATTAACTCCTTCACATAGCGGTCCCTATTCGATGGAACATCGCAGTGGGACTGCATGTAGAGTATGGGGGCATAGCCCTCGTCACGCCATTTCTTCTTCTCTGCTAGAGACACTGCTGGGTGCTGTAAATAACTGATAGTGGGCAGCCACTGTAAGGTGAGGGGGTAATCAGACTCTCGTCGGAAGGTCGCTGTGTGGTTGAACAGCCTGACCCCTGGTAGATGTGACAGAACATAGTTGTTCATGGGGGACTCTTCATGAAACAGAGCCCATGTCTGATGGGGCAGCCTAGGAAGGGGGGCTTCATAAGCCCTGAAGTCCGTTCCATAGAAGATGATAGATTTAGTCCTCTTGTGAAGTTTCACACTTTTGTTCTTTGTCACCATACAAGAGCTCTGGGGACAGTCGATCCGCTCAGTGTCCCCCGGAAAGTGTGGGAACAAGTTTTCGCTCCACCATAGAAGAATCGGCAGCTCTTTGTTACTCCTTGTGTCAGTGTTACCGGGACCCCTGTAAGAGTCTACCATCACAGTACCCATATCTTGGGTGGAGAAGCCCCCGGAGGGCTGGAAGGCGGACTCCTCCCAATGTCCAGGCATTGTCACCACATGCTGTTCTGCCACTAGATCGGGGTCACCATGGATGAGTTCCTGGCTGAGGTCATCCACTCCTGGATCTGGGAACATGGTCTCCCCTTCAACATATTCAGCGCCGAGGTGGTCCCACTGGCTGGAGCCAGCCCATACACAATGAAGCAAACAGAAAATACACAAAACAGCAAAGTAAAGGGAAGAGCGGGGGGATAGACCCCGGACCTCCATAGTTCTCTTCTTACAGTACCGTGGCATGCAGAGCGGACACAGGAATCCCTGATTGGTATTGGCTGTCCTCCGGCTTCTTCCAGTAGATTCTGTGCTGGGATAGAACAGGTTAGTCCTCTCAGCAGACTTGACATTCCTATTATTCATATTATACACTTTGCAGTGGGATTACATCAGCAGAATCAATGGACAATACAGTACAATACGCAGCCTCTATTGCAGTCTGTTACCTCGGCATGGCCATCAAACAGCTGGGACTACTTTCCTGTGTATGTGGCTGAAGGGGAAGGAAGCATCAGCTTTCTGATTTTTTTTTTTTTTTTTTTCCTACAATGAACTTTACTGACAACCCAAAAAGCAAGACGCTTTAAAAAAAAAAAAAAAAAAAAAGCACAGATCTTCCATGCATTGTAAAACAATCCTCAACCACGAAAAGCTATTCCTCTCCTCGGACTCCTCATCCCTCCCTCTTGAGCAATTAGAATTTTATTTTAACATAAATACATTTCTTGTAAGACTGCATTCACACATGAAACGCACGACTCTCAAGCATTTTCAAGTGTGTTTTTATTTGAGCATTTTTGCCAGTGTCTAAGAGCATTTCAAAAGAGTATTACAAGCATTTTACTTGTGTATTCAAGCTTCAGGACAGGTTCACACCATAGAAACGCAGTCCAGATGCGTGTCTTCATGCGTGTTTTTTACGTGTTTCGGTGTAGTTTTGATGCATTTATCCCCCCTTTTTTTTCTTCACTTTAAATAAGGACATGTGTTCTAGTGTATGGGCAGCACAGTGGCTAAATGGTTAGCACTTCCGCCTGGCAGTACTAGGGGTCATTGGTTCAAATCACAACCACGGCACCACCTGCCTGGAGTTTGCATGTTCTCCCTGTGCCTGTGTGGGTTTCCTCCAGGTACTCCAATTTCCTACCACCTCCAAAGACATGCTGGTAGGTTAATTGTATCAAAATTGGCCCTAGTATTTATTTATTTCAGGTACTTATATAGCACCATCAATTTACATATATATATTGTACATTCACATCAGTCCCTAACCCTCAAGGGGCGTACAATCTAAAGTCCCTAACTTACATTCATACATACATACTAGGTCCAATTTAGACAGGATTAACTTACCAGCATGTCTTTGGAGTGTGGGAGGAAACCGGAGTACCCGGAGGAAACCCACGCAGGCACAGGGAGAACATGCAAACTCCAAGCAGGTGGTGCCGTGGTTGGGATCCAAACCAACTGCCAGGTGGAAATCCTAACCATTTAGCCACTGGGCTGAATGAATGTAAGTTAGGGACCTTAGATTGTACACCCCTTGAGGGTTAAGGACTGATGTGAATGTACAATATATGTGTAAAGCGCTGCGTAAAATTGACGGCGCTATATAAGTACCTGAAATAAATACATTTAGGTGTGTTCTAGTGCATTTCTATGTGTTTTACTGCTTTCCAGTGCAGTTCAGTGCAGAAAAAAATGCTCTACTTTTTTTTTTGGAACTGACCACACTGGTGTGAACTATGCCATTGGAAACCATATAACCTATTATGCATGCGTTTTTGACGCAGAAAAAAAAACACACTGGACTGCATGTGATGTGAACGGGTCCTATGGCATTTTTGTTTTAGGCAATGAAAAGTACTAGAGGGAGGAGTCCAGTTCTTAGGTGCTGTTCCATGCTTGGGGTGCCATTCATTGTTAATGGCACCCAAAACACAGCAAGCAGACATACAATTTTTGGCATTGAGAAAAGCCCAACAAACGTCAAACTGCATAAGCTGTGCGTTTGTTGCATTACAGGGCCATTTCACACTCTGTGAATTTTCAACACATATGTGGTGATAATTCACTTGCCGCATTGTAACACACTGCAGTTCATTGCAGCGCAGCGGCGGCCCAAATCTCACTGCAATGTCAGGTAGCACAGTGCATGTACTGTACTGACGTTGCAGTGAATGAAGTGTACATTTTGTACACGTCAAGCTGGTGCAAAAAAAAAAAAAAAAAAAAACCAAGCACCAAAACGCACAAAGTTTTTACAAAAGTATGAGGGTTTCAGAAGTATATTTCAAACATTTTACATGTGTAATCAAACTACAGGTGTTTTTGTGTTCACCAATGGAAAGCACTAGAGGGAGGAGACCAGTTCTTACCACTTACCTCTCCTGCCGCCATGTTACTGTGATAAAGAGGAATTATTGACAGAAGTCTCATCAGAAACAGCCACTTCTGGGAGCATTGATGTGTTCAATGGTTCCTTATTCTGGTCCCTACACTACTACTGTGTGTATAGTCAGTGGGAGAAACCACTACAGTGTTGGACTTGGCAATGCCGGCCGTGTATGCATGGTGGCATCATGATCTCCAATGGGTGAGGTTGGAGATCGTGATGTCACCAAACATGCGCGGCCGCCATCGGATTCCTGGGAATTGTAATTCTGGTATGGCGTCTTCTCCCCTAGGAGATTGTGAGTGTTTATAACCATCTGTTAAATAAATGTTCCGATATGGATTCACACTATGAGAGCTTGTTACTCCTTTTTTTTATGTTCTGAGTACTAATCGGTCAATGGTGACGCTTCCTGAGGAAGTCCAATCCATTATGCTCCCCAATCTGCAGATCCGATCCATTCTGCGGGGATCGTCGGCATGCAACCTATACAGGGTGACACTGGACCAGCTCCACGAAAAGGTAATTTGTAAAGAAAGCCGATGATCCCCGCAGGATGGATCGGATCTGCAGATGGGGGAGCATGATGGATCAGACTCCAATCCATTATGCTCAATCTGCAGATCCGAACCATCCTGCGGGGATCGTCGGAGGGGGGTGTCACCAAGTGTTATCGCACCGGGTGACACAAACCCTAGGGATGCCCCTGAAATCCTGTATAATAATAATAATAAGAGGTTTTGAATCAAATTATCTGCTGACAGAGAGTACTTTAACTTCTCAAGGCATTCAGCCCAGGTTCACACTAGGCAGTGCAGGACATCGCATGTCATTTGCACCGAAATCACACCGCATTCCTGTAAAAATTACAAGCAAATATCTGTGCGGTGTGATTTCAACCATACATTTTGTATGGCTCAAATCACATCCACACCAAAACGGTGCAGGACCCTTTTTTAATTCTGCACCTGAATCGCATCACATGGGTGTTCTCACCCCTGCAATGCAATTTCTGGCAATTGCATCCTGTTTTGCGATCTGTTTCAGGGTGTCAATTTATCATTGACACCGGCACCAGATCACATGAACGCAATGTGATTGCAATGCAGAGCAAGAAACGTGCAGAATTCGCAGCATTGCCCACACGGCATTGGGGTGAACCCGGACAGAGAGTCACATACATTTTAGCAACCGCATAGATGTGCTTTGGTGAAAGGAGCAGTGGGTGTTTCACATGTGAGATTTGACGAGTGCTATCTTTTAAAGAGGACCACACACTAGTCAATATGGATCTTTATCTTTAAATGGACATTTGTTTAATGTTGGGCTTTATTTATCACTACTCGGTATTGATTATTTTGCACTTTGTATGAGCGTGGCAAATGTTTTTTCTGTATTTTATTAAAAACTTGACAGCTTTCAGGAATTTGTTTTGTAAATAACAGGGCTTATTAAAAAAAAAACCATCAGAGTTTTTTTTCTCCTACTCTACTTAATTATGTCATCTATGGTCCGAAAAACTGCTAATTGAATTATTTCACACATGAGTGACCATCAAAGCCCCAAGGACCTCATCAACAGTAGAATAGGATTTTTGCACTTGCAAGGTCACATGTCCTTATTTAAATACTTTGCTATGCTCATTGAAGAACACATCTGGATATACACTGATCAAAAAAAAAATGAAAGGAACAAGTTTTGATCAGAGTATAGCATCAAGTCAATTAAACTCCTGGGATATTGATCTGGTCTGTTAAGTGGCAGAGGGGGTTGTTCATCAGTTTCAGCTGCTTTGGTGTTAATGAAATGAACAGGTGCACTAGATGGGCAACAATGAGATGACCCACAAAACAGTTTTTTCACTAGTTTTGCATTTGGTTAGGGTCAGTGTGACTACTGGTAGCATGAGGCAATACCTGGACCCTACAGAGGTTGCACAGGCAGGCCAACTCCTCCAGGATGGCATATCAATACATTTCATTGCCAGAAGGTTTGCTGTGTCACCCAGCACAGTCTCAAGAGCATGGAGGAGATTCCAGGAGACAGGCAGTTACTTTAGGAGAGCTGGAAAGGGCCTTAGAAGGTCCTTAACTCATCAGCAGGACCTGTCGCTGCTTCTTTGTCCATTTTGGTGGTGGGTCAGTGATGGTCTGGGGAAGTATATCCATGGAGAAATGCACAAATCTCTACAGGCTAGAGAATGGCATCCTGACTGCCATTAGGTATTGGGATGAAATCCTTGAACCCATTATCAGACCCTACACTGGTGCAATGACAAAACCTGGCCTCATGTGGCAAGAGTATGCAGGCAGTTCCTGGAGGATGAAGAAATTGATACCATTGATAGCCCCCCCCACCCTCGCCTGACCCAAATCCAATAGAACACTTCTGGGATATCATGTTTCGGTCCATCCAAAGCCGCCAGGTTGCACCTCAGACTGTCCAGGAGCTCAGTGATGCCCTGGTCCAGACCTGGGAGGAAATACCCCAGGACACCATCCACCGTCACAGTAAGAGCATGTTCCGATGTTGTCAGGCATTCATACAAGCACATGGGGACATACAAACTACTGAATACCATTTTGAGTTGCTGCAATAACATTTCAGAAAAATGGTCTAGCCTGCTGCATCATTTTTTCACTTTGATTTTCAGAGTGTCTTTAAATTCAGTCCTCTGTAGGTTGATAATTTTTATTTCCATCAACCGATGGGGCATCCTTACGTTCCTAACACATTACCCAGTCTATATCAGTAAACCGTAGAGATCCAGCATGCTATTTTTTCCCATTGAGATCTGAACATAGACTTATACTGCCATCTACAGGAGAAATAGACACTTCTCATGGAAACCTAAAAAACAGCACCCATGAGGCCATAACCCCTCCTAGCTCACACCTGCTCAGTCATTTTAAGCAGTCCAAAGAGATAATATCATATATGGGGAGAGAGCAGTGTCTACCAATGTACTCAGAGAAAACAATTTCACAAAGTACACAAACTCTGTTTTCTGTATGGTTCATTGAAGGACACAGCTAACCACAAAAAAAACCTAGGAACACCTAAAAGCAGTTCAAATGGAGAGGCCGGCATACCCAAAACAGAGGCAAATCAGCCCA